CCGCCGCCGCTACCGCCTGCTGTCCGCTGCTGCTGCTCCACCCGCCGTGCCGGCGGCACCCTGGCGTGTGGCGATGTCCCTCCATGGTTGGCGCTGAGGAAGCGGGGACTCGGGTGGCCGCCTGATCTTCGGTGCTCTTGCGGCGGCTGTAGCTGCAGCTGTAGATGCACCTGATGCGCAGAGTTGGGTGACGTGAAGCCGTACGGCTGCGATGCCAAGCCGCCATCCTCTGTTGAGGAGTTGCTTTTCTGGCCGCTGTGAATGGCGATGATGGCGGAAATGGCGGTTTGTTGGGGGAAGTTCAAACGGTGGGGGGGATTATGGGAACACGAAACGGCATGGGGACAGGTAAGGCGCACGTATCGTGCAAAACACATTTCAAGTTGAAGTTGGCGTTGGAGTTGGATATGGAGGTACGGAGGCCATCGCCAACCCCACCGTCATCCCCACCGTCGCCCCCACCGTCGCCCCCACCGTCATCCCCACCGTCATCCCCACCGTCGCCCCCATCGCAGCAGCCGCAAAACAGCTCCTGGCGGGTCTTGCTAACACACACCGCCCCCCGCCACCAAAAACGTGCGTTTCCTATTTTGTCTGAAAGAAACAGCTTCCCAGAAGCTTATGACCTGCCGCCCGTGGAGGACCTGGGCGGCTCTGCGGGCGAGGGCTCTGACAGACCCCTCGGGAGCCTGCTTGTCCTCTTCCGGGGGCCCGGAGCACATCGGAGTAACCAGACGTATAGCCACCAGTTCGCTGTGGAACATGAGGTAAAAGATGAGGCCGAATCTCACCCCGCTTTCCCCGACCTTACACAAACCCACGACACGACATGACACGACACGCGCGCGCGCGCACGCGTGTGTGTGTGTATATATATATGTGTTGTGTGGCCACTTCCGAGGGCCGCAGGCCCCCTCCGAAATGAAACCCTCTGCGTCCCGCTCCACTCGGAGCTTGACGTGGAGGCTTTGGCCCTCATAGGTCACCGGAGTGGGGGGAAATTGCGGAGTGGCCGGTGCGCAGCGCACCTTTCAATGGAGGCGTGTTTGCCGGGGCTGTTGTTGTAGTGCTGCCCGCGGATGTCGGGGAGCGGCACCACCTGACTGATGCCGCCCTCGGAGAGGAGCTCGCCAGACGCGCCTGAGCTGAGGACGTCAGTCGCCATGGCCCGATGTGGCGTGTGTTTCGGAGAAACAAACACGGGCTCTGGGGCGGAAAGAACCCGAGGCTGCGTGACGCCGACAGAGACGGCCGGCTGCGGCTACAAAGGTTATATGTCCGATCCTACAGTTACGTTCTGCGTGCTGATTGAGGAGTTTCGCGTCCTCGCGTCTCCCAGAACAAGCCAGTGGAATGTGAATAGTTGCCCAGAGGACAACGCTTAGCTGACCAAACTTATTATGGCTTGCTTCAATTCGTGGTAATAACAGTGGCTGTATCCCTGGGAATGCACATGCTCGCCTCGCCAAAGCTCGAAGGAGCATTCATAACGCACTTCGGAGACGAGCTGACAGCGTCAAATTTAATGCAGCCCTAACACGTAAGACTAGGTGTGCTTTAGCATAGCTACTTTCTTTAGGGATTGCCATGGACGACGACCCATCCGACACACACAGGTAGGAGTTACAAAGGAAAGGCTCCTGTAGAGCACTATGTTCAATATACAGTTCGTCCTTTACCGCATTCGGACTAGACTTTCGAAGGGGGCAGACACATGGTGCAAGAAAAACCGGGTCGTACGGCAAGAAAATCACAGAAGCCTGCAAAACCAAAGCTCTGATATGTGTATGTTCTTTTGGACCATATTCTTCTGGATCGCATTAACTAAGCGATCCTAGCGAAAGGGTTCGTAGTTAGCGACAGGCTTTTCCTGGCCAGCATAGCCTGTGGCCCTTAATCCAGGCTAACGAGTCCCTGACGTGCAATTTCTGTAATAATCTTATTCTTCTAGGATTATCTTGTACGCGACCATGCAAGTGTTAGGGTCTGGTCGTGTGGCGCTGGGGCGTTCAGCCTGCGTGCGTCGCGCTGTGCCCATCGTGCCGTCTTGCGCACGGCCTTGCATCGAGCGCGTTGCAACGAATTCGTCAAGGAATGCTTTAACCAACCAGACAGCCAGGGCGCGCACCGTGCTCCCGCGCCGGTCGGCTCGCGGTGCGGTCAGAGTCCAAGCATTCCTGAACAAGTTTTTCAAGAGTGACCCATCGGAGGCTACTCGCAAAAAATATCAGGCGCGGGTTGACCAGATTAACGCTCTGGAGCCGGCGATGCAGGCGCTGACAGATGACCAGCTCCGCGCAAAGACCGTGGAGTTCAAGGAACGCGTTCGGAAGGGCGAGAGCTTGGAGAGCATTTTGCCCGAGGCCTTTGCGGTGAGATTGTGTAGGAGCCATACAGGGGGTTACCCTGCAGTCGAACCCTTCCCAGGGCGCAAATTGCGTATGAGATCTCCACGACGCTCGCAGCCCTCTATTCTCCATACCTCCTTTCCATTACAAACTTTCGAAAGATAACGTTCTTCCTAGGCAGTGACTTGACCCACATCGCAATTCTATACGAAATACCCTTGGAGGCAGGGGGAAAGTAAACTCCGGTAACAAAGGCGCATGGGGGAGCACAGAATGGATGTGGGGGCTAGTTGGGCCTGGGGATGTGACGAATGGGCCTTAGGGCAGTGGTCATCAAGCACGAGGGGGATCATATGGAGGGGAATATGAAGATGCTCGGATGCCGCTGGACATCATGATGGGGTGATGGTGGGTTCATCTCCCCACGGGACCCATATGCGGGACTCAGTGGGGGAACAACATCCTGTTGGGGAGCCCTGGTGGTCGAGGGGTGAGGTGGGGTGAGGTGGGGTGAGGTGGGGTGAGGTGAGGCGAGGTGAGGTGAGGTGGGGTGAGGTGAGGTGAGGTGAGGTGAGGTGAGGTGAGGTGAGGTGGGTTTGGGGCGTCTGGGGGTATGTGTCCGCGGTTCAAGGACCTTCCCTGGTCGAGCAGTCTCAACGGAGTTGGTATAGACGTACATATAGACACACGTACATACGGTAGTGGATGGCAGAATACGTTGCGTGCAGCCATCAGGGGAAGTAGGAGGACAGTCTAGGAACAGTACAACTAATAACTGGGGATAGACCTAGGGGGTATGACGACCCAGGTGCGGGCTGCTCAGCTTGCTACTGCGGGGGGGGTGGTAGCGGAGCCCGGGGACCGAATCCCCCATAGTCATATGGGCGCGGGGGGTGCTGCAGGCGTAGTGTTGTGAGTGTGCACATGACGGAGTGGTGATCTGATGAGGTGAGGTGCTGCCCCGGGGCGAGCCATAGCCCCACCAGACACGCCTCCCGCCTTGGCGCCTTGCCCTTACGCCTGACTGACGCGGATAAGGGCCACCCCTCCAGGGGACTGAAACAACCACCACCCCCTGGTGCGGCCGCGGGCTGGCTGGCTGATCGGGGCCTGACACAACTTTGCATGGTGGTTTGGGTTTCACCAGGTAGTTCGTTGAGGGGGGCCGTAGTGTGGTCAGATTTGGTTGTAGGGTGCAGCTTTTGGGCTAAAGGCGGCGGTAGGGCGGCCCTTCACGGGGAGGAGGGGCGCCCAGGTGTTGCACGGGACCCGGGGTGCGCAGCCGCAACCCTGGCTCAAGGTGCAGGCTGCTGCATGGGCGGAACTGTGCCGCAGCGCGTGCTGAGGTTGGTCGTTTGAGGGCCCTGGTGGCTAGCCACCGCGCTCTCTTTCCTCTTGACAAACGGGGGAAACGCGGCGGCGGGGGTTGCACGCCCTCGGTCGAGCAGGAGGGGGCTGTGGCCCCTCACGGCCCTCTTCCCCCACAAGGAGGAGGAGAGTGCTTCGGCGGTCGTTCCCGTTGGGGGACGGTTAGGTGCCCCTGGTCAGTGTCAGGCCCGGATCGTTATCTAACAAGTACATACATACATACATACATACATACATACATACATACATACATACATACATACATACATACATACATACGACTTGTGCTGTGTGCTCCCGACCCTTGCGCTGTGTTTCGGCTTCGGCCCCCGGCTCTCGCGGCCCACAGTGTAATCTAAGTCATACATACATACATACATACATACATACATACATACATACATACATACATACATACATACATACATACATACATACATACATACATACATACATACATACATACATACATACATACATACATACATGCATGCATACATACATACATGCATGCACACACGTCATCTGGGTGCGGGTCTGGCGGGTGTGCAGGCGCAGTGCGGAATGCGGTGGAAGCCAGTCAGTGGGTCTGGAGGGGCTGGACTTGTGTCCCTTGCAGCAACGGGGCGGTGTTGCGGTGGTGGTGGCGGTGATATGGGGTTGATGTTTGAACATGGATTCACAGCCGGCTTTGTGACTCATATCTATCTGCAGGTCCCTACATGCTAAAGAGGGAGGGCGTCCCCCACCCCTTTTTGATCCCTTTGAGGACCGTGTGCGTCTATGTGTGCGTGTGTGTGTATGGGGGGAGTGTAGCCTACCAATGTACCGCACGCGGAAAGAAGAGGGTTAGGGTTAGGAGGGGTAACGTCTTACGTCCCCACGTCGGAGGGGGTTTCGGAGCCGCTTTATGTGCCGCGCCTGGGGAGGATTTGGGTCAAGGCCGGGCTAGGGGGGGCTGTTGAGCTGCTGCCTGTGGGGGCGGGGTGGTGGTGGGGTGATGGTGGTGGTGGTGGGGAGTGGGGGGACTTCGTGGAGTCCCGACCTTGTTAGAGATTTGCAACTGCCACTGCTGGCAGTAGCACAGCCGCGGCAGTAGCCGCAGCAGCCGGGTAGTGAGAGGCGTCATCAGCTGCTGCGTTCTCCTCCGCAGATGACCCTGCCCCCACACCTCACCGCATCCGGGTCCCCACATCTCACCCGTAAACCTCGTCCCCCTTGCTCCTCGCTCGTCCACCCGTCCTCATTATCCTCTGGTCGTTGTCGTTGTCGTTATCGTCCGGCTACTACTTCCAGTAAGGAAGTAGTAGCATACCCTCCGTCTCCCCCGCCAACCCCCCTACACACACATAAGGGGGAGGGTCCGGCCCCACCATGAAACACCTGCATGTGACTCCCCTCCCTCCCCCTCCGTACCGTATGATCCCCCTTCTTTCCGCCCCCACTTTGCTTTGGAAACGTGTCGGCACTTGGTGGTGTCTTTGCTTAATTTGCAAATCCGTCGTATGCTCTCTCCCTCAGCACCTTCACTCGTTCATGGTTTGTCTTTCCCCTCTCTCCCTCTCTCCCACCCCCCTCCTGCTCCCCCTCTTCCCGCTGGTCCAGGTCGTCCGTGAGGGCAGTCGTCGTGTGCTGGGTCTGCGCCCCTTCGACGTGCAGCTCATTGGCGGTATGATTCTGCACGAAGGGCAGATTGCGGAGATGCGGACAGGGGAGGGTAAAACCCTGGTGGCCGTTCTGCCGGCGTACCTGAACGCCCTGACGGGACGCGGTGTGCACGTGGTAACGGTCAACGACTATTTGGCGCGACGCGACAGTGAGTGGGTCGGCCAGGTGCATCGTTTCTTGGGCCTGACTGTGGGCCTTATCCAGGCGGATTTGAAGCCGGAGGCTCGCAAGGCGGCACACAGCTGCGATGTGACGTACGTGACGAACAGCGAACTGGGTTTCGACTACTTGAGAGATAACCTGGCGGCGGTGAGGAGGGGGAGGGGAGGGGGGGGAGGGGGAGGGGAGGGGGGGGGGAAGAGGGGGCGGGCACGGGACGAGAAGGGGCGAGCCGTGCTGGACCGGGGGGGTTAAGAGGGGGGTTGGGGGGAAAACCCGCAGCTAAGTGGGGGTTTGTCTTGGGGGGGATTTGGAGCACATGCGCGTGTGTTGTGTGTGTATTGTGTGTGTCAGAGATTGAGTGTACGCGTGTGTGTGCGGTGAAGGGAGGGTGCGGAGGGAGGGAGTAGTTGGGGTGAAGGTGTTTGTGGTCGTCGTGTGCCCCGCTGCTGAGTGACTGACTGGCTGCGTCGTGAGGGGGTGAGATTCCCACCGACGGGTGAGGGGGGGATGTGAGGGATGTGAGGCCATACCGCTGCGTGAGGTGCGGGAATTCCGCTCAGCTACTGCCTCGTACGACAAACTCGTGGCTGCGGTACACAGCGGTATCCGACCATGGCGCAAAAGTCGGTGCTGCCCCCCGGGGCCCGCCCCCGCCCCCGGCCCCCACTGCCGCCGCCGGTTGTCCTTTCCCCTACTTGGTTGTAGGAGGACTCCCACCTACCGGGGAGGGGGGGCTCTTTCGCCAGCACCGCCGCCGCCGTCGTGGTGGTCGTATCGCATTACCAAAAGAGTTCCCTCACCCGCCTTTCTAATTCCTTGAAAAGGAAGCAGAGGAACAACCCAAGGCTCTCCCCCTTGGTATTTCCTTTTCGTGCATCGTTGTGCTCCGTCGTACCCCCCACCCACCCCACCCCCCCCCTCCCCCCCCTTGCGGCCCCCCTCTCACAGGCTGCCTCGGAGCTGGTCCTCCGCGAGGACACCCCCTTCAACTACTGCGTCATCGACGAGGTGGACTCCATCCTCATCGACGAGGCGCGGACACCGCTCATCATTTCCGGGATGTCGGACAAGCCCTCCAGCAAGTACTACAAGGTGTGCTGCTGCCGGTGGTGGGGGTGGAGGAGGGGTGGGGGAGGATGTGGTCGTTTTATGATCTGAGCCGCGATGAGGGGAAGGGCGGCGAGGTGGGTTGGGTTGGTACATGATAATAGCTTCATGCCGAAGGGGAGGGGTGTGTTTTGCAGCTCGCGTAGTGCTGGCCGGGAGGGATGTGTCGCGCCTACTGTGATTGCCCTCCTGCTCCTCCTGCTCGTACTATTTCTTAGTCCCGCCCTGCACATCTACCAGGCCGCCAAGATTGCTGACGCACTTAGCCGCAATGTTCACTACACGGTGGACGAGAAGCAGAAGGCCGTACTGCTGACCGAGGACGGGTACGAGGCGGTGGAAGACGTACTGCAGGTAGGCGTGTGCGTATGTGTGTATATGTGTGGGGGGGGAGATATGGGTGAGAGTCCTTGGGGGTGCGATCGGGGGGTTAGGGGCAGGCGAGGTGTGGGGCCCGGGGGCCCGGGGGCTAAGAGGGGAGTGAGGGGAGTGAGGGGGCCGCGCTGATGTGTCTAGGGCCCCCGGAGGAGGTGGATGGGAGCGCTATGTAGGCGAACGATACACACTACACGTATGTTCTTGCCGTACCTGACGTACCCACGCCCGTGGCGTTCTACCCCCTGACCGTGTCTCCCTCCCTCCCCGGGGCCGTGCAGGTGTCGGACCTGTACGACCCCAGGACGCAGTGGGCATCGTACATTATCAACGCGCTCAAGGTGCGCTGCCGTACCATGTTGGGGGGGAACCAGGAGGGCTCCTCTGTCTGTCCTCTGCTCCTCCTGCCTACTGGTGGGGCGGCGCCGTAGCTCCCTCTCTCCCCCCTGGCATCAGCTCCTCTTGTTCGTGGTTCGTCTCCCCCCCTTCCTCCCGCCAGCTTCCCGCAGCTGCCTGGTCAAGAGGTTCTGATGGCAGCTTTTTCCCGATCTCAGGATTGGTTGCGACATCTGAACGGCATCTCTTATCTCAGCATTTAGCTTCCTCGCTCCCAAGCCCCCGTCTCACTCCCCGTCTCACTCCCCGTGTTGCTCCCCGTGTTGCTCCCCGTGTTGCTCCCCGTGTTGCTCCCCGTCTCACTCCCCGTCTCACTCCCCGTCTCACTCCCCGTCTCACTCCCCGTCTCACTCCCCGTCTCACTCCCCGTCTCACTCCCCGTGTTGCTCCCCGTGTTGCTCCCCGCCCCCACCCCTCTCGCAGGCCAAGGAGCTCCAGATCAAGAACGTCAACTACATCGTGAAGGGCAGTGAGGTGATCATCGTGGACGAGTTCACGGGTCGTACAATGCCGGGTCGGCGCTGGTCGGACGGGCTCCACCAGGCGGTTGAGGCCAAGGAGGGGTTGGAGATTCAGAACGAGAACATCACACTCGCTTCCGTGTCGTACCAGGCGTTCTTCCGGGCTTTCCCCAAGCTGGCAGGTGGGTGGATGGGTGCGGATTCGGGGGGGGGGGGGAAAATGGGGGTTTTGAGTCTCCACGTGTATCCACCCCTTCACCCCTCCGCCCTGTCAGGCATGACCGGCACTGCCGCCACCGAGGTCAGCGAGTTCGACTCGATTTACAAGCTGCCGGTGGCTGTGGTGCCAACCAACCGAACCGTGTCGCGGAAGGATAACCCAGATGTCGTATTCAGGTCCGTCTCTGTGTGTGTTCGCGTGTGTGTGTGTGTGTGTTCGTGTGTGTGTGTGTGTGTGTGTGTGTTCGTGTGTGTGTGTGTTCGGATGTGTGTGAACGTTGCAAGTATCTGACTGGTCCGGACATTGGCTAGGGGCTGCACTGCCCAGCCCCAACGGAAAGACCGCCTAAGCTCTCTCCCGCGGACGGAAGAGGTGCGTGTGTGTATGCGCGTTTGTGAGTGGGTATGTGTGAGCGTGTGTGCGTGTGTGTGTGTTCTCCATGCCGTGATCCCCTCTCTGCTACTTAAACTCATGGGCTGCTTAATTCTTAAGGGCGCCCAACGGCCGCCGATTTGCCCTGGGCTCCAACCCTAACCCTCCCCCCCCCGGCGGTTGGTTGTGGCGGTTGGTTGTCCTCAGGTTGGAGCAGTACAAATGGAAGGCGGTGGTCCAGGAAATCCGCAACATGCACAAGACCGGGCGACCGGTGCTGGTGGGTACGACAAGTGTGGAGAAGAGCGAGATCCTGTCGGCCATGCTGCAAGAGAAGGGAATTGCACACCAGGTACGTCTGGCGCTGTGTGTGTATGTATGTATGTACGTGTGTACGTGTGTATGTATGTGAGCATGGATGCATGCATGCACACGTGCTTCAATAATAACTGAGCCACGGGAAAGAAATCACGTACACGTGTACGACAAACATGTTTCCTTTGCAAACAGGTTCTGAACGCCAAGCCCGAGAATGTGGAGCGCGAGAGTGAGATTGTGGCCCAGTCGGGTCGCAAGGGCGCGGTCACCATCTCCACCAACATGGCCGGGAGAGGTACGGACATCCTGCTGGGGGGTAACGCGGACTACATGGCGCGACTGAAGCTCAGGGAGATGCTCATGCCGGAGGTGAGGGGGGAAAAGGGGGTAAGGGGGGTAAGGTGTGTGTATGTATATGTGTGTGTTTAGGGATATGACAGGAGGCGCGGAGAGGGAGGGAGAAAGGAGATGGTATGCAAACCATGGGGCTTTTTAAAAGTTTGTAATGAGGGTAATCCTTAGGTGTTTTCCCTCTCTCTCTCCCCTTCTCTCTCTCTCTCTCTCTCTCCGTCGCGCGCGCGCCCCCGGTGTTGGGAACACATGTTGCTTTGTTGCGTTGTCGTCATTGAGTTTTATTATTTCGACTGGCGCCGGTGCGTCTGGGGGGGGATCTGGGGGCTTCTCTGTCTACCTGTCTACCTGCGAGGGGCTGGCTGCCGGGGTCCTGTGGCGGTTAGGTGGTTAGGTGGGGTGGTGGCAGCTGCCGTACTGATCTGCGCTCTCATGCAACTAGCGCCACGACACACGTAGCGTGGTCTGTGTGTCCCTCCTCCTGTTTTTCTGTGTGACCGTTGTAACCATGTGTATGTGTGTATGGCGGGATTCCCCGTCATCAGCCGTGCTCCTGTTTCCCCCTCCTCCCCATCCCCTTCCCGGCCTCCCCCTCCCCGCCCACCCCATCCCCCCCCCACCAGGTGGTATCTATCGTGGAGGACTCCAGCAACCCCTTCAGAGTGGGCAAGGACGGCAAGCCCCGGGTAAGGGGGGCAGAGGGAGGCAGGTTGGAAACCCCAAGTTGACACGCCGGCAGTTGATGATGTTACTTTCCGTACATCCACACACCCTAATGGGGTTTGTCGAAACCCCGCCCCCGCTTTTCCCCGTACAAACACAAACACACACACACACACAAACACGCACACGTACGCGCAGGTTCGCACCTGGGCCGCCAACCCGGCGTTGTTCCCCTGCACCCTGAGCGAGCGGACCCAGTCTCTGGCCGAGTCGGCTGTGGCGGCGGCCGTGGCGGCGTGGGGCTGTCGGCAGCTGTCCGAGTTGGAAGCGGAGGACCGGCTCAGCGTGGCGTGTGAGAAAGGCTTCACAGAGGACGTGCAGCTGCTCAAATTGAGAGACGCGTTCCAAGTGGGTCGGGGGGCCCGGGGGGGAGGGGGCCGGACACGTGTGTGTATGTGTGTGTGCGTGTGTATGTGGGTGTGATGCGGGTGCTCTGCTGTCACTTAGATCCCGTCACTAGATATCCTTCTCCCCCTCCCGCCTTCCCTTCCGTCTTGTGAATGTACTGCAACATGCACTGCATCATCTCCCCTGCTGCCCGCCTCCCCCGCTTCCCCCGCCCCCCCCGTCGCCCCCCCCTTCCCTCAGGCCATGCTTTCCGAGTACAAGGCCGTTACCGAGGTAGAGAAGGCGGAGGTGGTGGCCCTGGGTGGGCTACACGTCATCGGTACGGAGCGCCACGAATCCCGTCGTATCGACAACCAGCTTCGCGGCCGGTCGGGTCGGCAGGGGGACCCGGGCTCCACCCGCTTCTTCCTGTCGCTGGAGGACGCCCTGTTCAGGGTGTTTGGAGGCGACAGAATCAAGAACCTTATGGTGGCGTTCCAGGTAGGGTGGGTGGTGGTTGTGGGTTGGAGGGTAGTTGTGGTGGTTGTGGGTAATGGTCCCGTTCTGCCGCCACCTGCTTCTGTTAATGTCGTTGTTGTCGTTGTATTGTTGTTATCGTTGTTGCAGGTCGAGGATCTGCCCATGGAGAGCACCATGCTGAGTGACGCTCTGGACACCGCCCAGAAGAGGGTGGAGGCGTACTTCTTCGACATCCGCAAGTAGGTTGGGAGATGGGTTGGGGCCGGGCCCGGGGGCGAGAGAGAGAGAGAGAAACTGACGTAAATCACAAAAAAACTAGGTTCTTTAAAATTGGAACGGACGGGAGAGGGACAGGGACAGGGGAGAGGGCCGGGACTTTCGTGGCCAGTAACGGTGTGTGTGTGTGTATGTGTGTATGTATGTGTGTGTACTCCCTCTTCCCCCGATCAGGAACTTGTTCGATTACGACCAGGTGGTCAACACTCAGCGAGATAAGATCTATTCGGAGCGGCGTAGGGCCCTCCTGGCCGCCGACCTGGCCCCCCTCATGCGGGAGTACGCGGAGAAGACGGCGGACGACATCTTGGAGGTGCACCCGGCGGCCGGGGGAGGGGGGGAGGGGAAGGGGGGAGGAGAATATTGCCGGGAAGGGAGAAACAAGACAGTGGTTCTTTCTTGGCTTTGTAAATTCTTCCCAGGGCGGATGACACATGGGTCATCACCGTTTTCTTTTCCACCTCCAGCAGCTGCTGCTCCTCCTTTTCCAAAGTAAGCCCTCCTCCCTGTCCCCCCGCCTGACCCCAGGCCAATGTGGACCGCACCAAGGAGCCCTCCGAGTGGCGGTTGGATGACCTGGCGCGGAAGATGGTGCAGTACTGCTACCTGCTGGAGGTGAGGGGGTGGGGGGGAAATGTGGGGGTTTATTTCTGTGTAAGGGGCGGGGTGGGGTGGGGTGGGGGTTAAGGAATATTTTAAATCGCGGGGGGCGAGGGGAGTGTGGAGGGAGACATGTGTCTTTTAAATTCCCGCCCACCCTCCACTCCCCTACCCTCCACTCCCCGGCAGTTGGGGGTTTTGCATGTGGCATGTGATTCCGTCCCTCCCCCCCATTCAACCTGAGGCCCAACACCCCCGGACACCCCCTCCCCGCCCCAGGAACTTACGGGCGAGCAGCTCTCTCGAGTGGCAGCGGAGGGCGGGTTTGAGGGCCTCCGTACACACCTGCACCGCCTGTGTGTGGAGGCGTACGACAAGAAGGTGGCCATGGTGGAGGCCGTACAGCCGGGGCTGATGTCGGAGGTGCAAAAGTGGGTGCGGACGAGTGTGGAGGGTGGTGGTGGCGGGTTTGTGCTGAGTGATGAGGGAGGGTGGCTATGGGTTGAGCTGCGGGTCCGGTCAGGTTGGCCACCGCGAGGATTTGATTCATGCTTGTCATTTCCCGTCCCCCCCGGTCGCGCGTTTTAGTTTTTTTTGGGGGTTGGGAGGAGCACTTGCATACCGACAGCCTTTCAGTATCAGCAAATCAGCCTTTTTATCCAGGCCAGCAACTTTACGCCACCTATACGACAACGCTATTTTACTCGCCGCCTTTTCTACACCTACTTCTTTACGGATTGGCTATACTATTCAGCTTTTTAATTCTGGCGGCTTAGGTAGGTAGGATTTCCGACATCAACGTCACTTCGTCATTCCGAGGTCACAGTCGTCACAGTCGCCACGGACGCCTTTCGGTCAGTTTTTACGTTTGCTACTCTCTTGCCCTGGCAGCAGCTTCAATCGTGTGTGGTTCGTCTTTCCCCCCCGCCCTCCTCTACCTCTACCTCTCTCTCTCTCTCTCTCTCTCTCTGTGGCCCTCCCCCACCTTTCGGGGACGTGTCGGAAGTTGCCTCCCTCCCCCATGTCACTTCGCATCACACGGTTACGACCGCCCTTCCCTCGCCCTCCACTTCTTTCTCCCCCCTCGGCGCTCACTCCTTTGTTCTACTTGCATCACGATATTTATCCCCCTCCCCATTCCCTTCCCCTCATCTTCCCCCTCCCCGCATTTCCCCCCCCCCTTCTCCCCCCTCTCGTCGCATTCGCACAGGTTCTTCGTCCTGAGCCAGACAGACGCCAAGTGGAAGGAGCACCTCCAGGCCATCAAGTTCCTGCAGCAGGCGGTGGGCCTGCGGGGGTACGCCTCCAAGGACCCCCTCACGGAGTTCAAGCTGGAGGGCTACAACCTGTTTGTGGATATGACGGCGCAAATTCGCAGGTGGGGATTTCAGGGGGTTGGGGCTGTACAGCACCCCACCGCCCTACTGCTCCCACATGCCGCGCCGGGAGAGGGCTTTTACACACACACACACACACACACCCCACACACACAGACACCAGCTGTTGTGTCCCTCCTCTTCCTCTCAGATTTCCCTTTTTACCGTCATCGCGGTTCCTCATCCCCTTTCCCCCCCCACCACCACGGCCCTTTCCCTCCCACCTTTTCCCCCTCCCCGCCCCACATGCATGCATACATACATACATACATACGCACAAACCCACAGGAACGTCATCTACAACGTGTACATGTTCCAGCCCCAGCGCATCGTGCCCATTTCTGAACAACAGCAGCAGCAGCAGCAGCAGCAGCAACAGGCTGCGGCGACATCGAAGGAGACGGCGGGGGCCCGTGCCTAAATTTTTACAGAGAGGCGGGGAAGGGGGAGCTGTCTGGTGTGTGTGTGTGTGTTTTGGTCAGGTACGGCTGACCTGGGGTATCGACTTGCTCGGAGGAGGAGGCGGAGGAGGGTGGGGGATTGAGGTTGCTGTTTTGTGTGGGGGGGCCTGTGCAGGCGCGTTGGAGAGGCCTGAGCCGCTGTTCTGAGCTGTTCCTCACCCACGCAAATGTTCGCCGTGTGTTTGTCTGTCTGTCTGTCTGTCTTGCTTTAACTGTCGATGTGAGGGCAACGGTGGGTCAAGGGTTGGGAGGGGCCCTTGAGGCAGTTGGCTGGTTTGCGGTTACCCCTTACAGCCTGACGAGCCTTCCCACCTCCCTCCTGAACATGAACGGCGGCGGCTGCGTGTGTGTGTGTGTATGTGTGTCTGTGCGATGGTGGTTTTGTGCGGTGTTGACACGCTGAGAGATGCGTGAAGGCGCCATCCCATAGAGCTGATCAGCTTTTGAGGTGTCCCGCCTCGAGGTGGTGGTCCAGGTGGAAGTGGAAGTGGGGTTTCGTTCCTTGGAGCTTTCAAGGGTGGGGGGGATGTGACGCAGCACACAGACGATTGACGGAGGGGGGAAGGCGGCGCACGTCCACGTGGTGGTGGTGGGGAGGTATATGGGCATAGAAGGGGATTATAGGCGCGTCTGGGCAAGTGGGTTTTGAGGGGTTGGGCAGGGCAGGGGGGAAAGAAACCATCTCTCCTTTCCACTCTCAGCCATGTCTGCTTGAGATGTCAGGAGTTAGATCTGTCGCGCAGGCGGAGTAACGAGCAGATCGTATGAGGTGTGTGTGGGGGGGGGGGAGGGGGAGGAGGACTGACGCTCCCCTCGGAAGGCCAGGCGTTACGGAGCCGGGGGAGAGATGATATGCGACACGGTTTGTTGCAACAACAGCTTTTTACATCATGAGCATGTCGGGAGGACGTGCTCACGTACAAGTGTCAACTGCTCGAAGAGGGGATGACGGGAAACGCGAACTGAATTCCGAAATCTGCTGGGGGTGCGCATGTCTCCCTACAACACGACATGGGAACGCGACACACGGAGGTTACTGGATGGCTTGGCCGAATCGACGCCGCTGCTTCCCTTCCCGCCGCGTACACTGCGCGCCACGCCTCCAAAGAATTTTCATCATACATACAGACATACACATTTGCACACATGTACAACCAATTTCCTCCTACCGGCTCAGATCATTGAACCACATACACACACACACACACACACACGGATACGCATGTAAAAATAGGTAGGGGTCAATGTTGGGAGTGTGTGCTGCCAAGATGTAGACCTCCCGGAGGATGGCTGCCCTCAGATGCCCCCTGACCTTACCGAGCTTGCTAAGTAGCTCCCAGGTCTCAAACCCCCGAAGGAGTCGTTTCCCAGCACACAGAATTGCGAACTCATTTACCTCTGAAAGCTCTGAGGCCCGCCCCCACCCCCCACCCCCACCACCGACACCAGTGCAGCAGAAGCAGGACACATCCCATATATACCGCTGAGATGGCGGTAGCTCTGGTGAAGACCATTAGTTAGGCATTCCGTTGACCTAATGGACGGGGACTTGGAATTCAGTGGCCCCAAGTCTCCTGAACAAGGACTAAGACGCCAATTATATATGATCAGTGTATGGCACTGTCGTATCGACTGTTTGAGACGAAGTGAGCGTGCCCTACGTAGCGTACAGAGAAGCCTTTGGAAATTGCAGCCGACACGTCAGCGTTTTCTTTTGCTAAAGGATATAAACGAACGATGCTGTCTGCCTTCAGGTGCATCTTCTACTTTTCTGCCAAAGGGATCGTAGGACTGCTGTATGGTCGCTGTAGAGCCATATATTAAAGGCAGAAAGCATCGCAACATATACACACACATTCCGTTGGCTTAGTGGACGGGGACTTGGAATCCAGACAATCTTCAACTGATATTTCCGTTGGCTTGGCGACATGGAAGGGCCATGCTAGTTTCTGCCATGCAGAGCGAACCGTATGTAATGTAATGAAGTTAGTTAAAGAGCGTTTGAAACGCGTGTGAGACCATGTCGTAACTTCGGAGCTAGCGGAGCTAGGACTTGTGTGTACGACGTGTGAGGTTGTGACGCGCTACCATGACTATTTAAGCGGACCAAAATACTTCTCCAATACCTCGCCAGGTAGAGTCAGCTTAAGCTTCCCATTTGCTAGGAGCGGTCTGGTTTCCTTTCAATTGGTATTAGAGCCTTGGTGATCCTCCTCGCCCTTATCGTCATCGCCATCGTCTTCGTCGTCATCCTCATCGTTTCATCGGTTTCCTTTCACCGTATGCAATTTGCACTTGACGTCGGCCTCGCCGTGGTCGGGCGCTGGTTCCGCCCGCTCACATTCAACCTTGGCGGTCTGCGAATCAGGGTTGGCTATTAGGTTCTTGTGGGCCTTTGATTCTCGTCGAGAAGGTTTTCCTCACGTTCCTCGCGTTATTGTTGGTCGTGCTTCATCGCCACAGGGTCGCCAGGTGCCCACGTAAGCCTTGGTTACTAGGCTCCGCCGCGACCTTTCACGACAAT